TTTGAGGGGCGTTTTCACCCTCTTGCAATTTGAGATTCGAGAAACCCCTCCTTATCGAACCTCTACACCCCACAGTCAATCCGTTTGCCAAAAATCAGCTTTAAACGTTAAGCAGTTTAAGCAGAATCGTGATTACTCAATGGCCATATTTTATGAAAACACCCTGTATAAATTTATAAAAACCTTAAAATATGTAAAACAACAAAATAAAATATACGTGTTTAAGAGTTTTTCCGAAAAAACTCACCGGTTTTTAAATAAAAATATTCTAATATTTGAGGGGTGGTTTCACACCCTTAGAATTCGAGTTTCGGAAAATCCCTTCTTATCGAACCTCTACACCCTAAAGTCAATCCGTTTTCCAAGAATCATCTTTTTACGTCAAGCATTTTAAGCAGGATCGTGATTAATCAATGACCAGATTTTTCGAAACACCCTGTATATATTTTTAAAAAATCTTAAAATATGTAAAAAAAGAAAATAAAATATACGTGTTTAAGCGTTTTTTCGAAAACTTGACCGTTTTTTAAATAAAAAATATTGTAATATTCCACCCCCCTTTTTACCCCCTTAGGGGATGAATTTTAAAAAATCCTTTCTTATCTCACGTAAACATCATAAAAAGAACCTCTGTGCAAAATTTCAGCTTTCTAGGGTTAAGGGTTTGGTCTGGGCGTTGATGAGTCAGTGGTCAGTCAGGACTTAGAGATTTATATATATATAGATTAGTATAGATTATTTGAGGGGCGTTTTCACCCTCTTGCAATTTGAGATTCGAGAAACCCCTCCTTATCGAACCTCTACACCCCACAGTCAATCCGTTTGCCAAAAATCAGCTTTAAACGTTAAGCAGTTTAAGCAGAATCGTGATTACTCAATGGCCATATTTTATGAAACACCCTGTATAAATTTATAAAAAACCTTAAAATATGTAAAACAACAAAATAAAATATACGTGTTTAAGAGTTTTTCCGAAAAAAACTCACCGGTTTTAAATAAAAAATATTCTAATATTTGAGGGGTGGTTTCACACCCTTAGAATTCGAGTTTCGGAAAATCCCTTCTTATCGAACCTCTACACCCTAAAGTCAATCCGTTTTCCAAGAATCATCTTTTTACGTCAAGCGTTTTAAGCAGGATCGTGGTTAATCAATGATCAGATTTTTCGAAACACCCTGTATACATTTTTAAAAAATCTCAAAATATGTAAAAAAAGAAAATAAAATATACGTGTTTAAGCGTTTTTTTCGAAAACTTGACCGTTTTTTAAATAAAAAATATTGTAATATTCCACCACCCTGTTTACCCCCTTAGGGGACGAATTTTAAAAAATCCTTTCTTATCTCACGTAAACATCATAAAAAGAACCTCTGTGCAAAATTTCAGCTTTCTAGGGTCAAGGGTTTGGTCTGGGCGTTGATGAGTCAGTGATCAGTCAGGACTTAAAGATTTATATATATAGATTAGTATAGATTATTTGAGGGGCGTTTTCACCCTCTTGCAATTTGAGATTCGAGAAACCCCTCCTTATCGAACCTCTACACCCCACAGTCAATCCGTTTGCCAAAAATCAGCTTTAAACGTTAAGCAGTTTAAGCAGAATCGTGATTACTCAATGGCCATATTTTATGAAACACCCTGTATAAATTTATAAAAAACCTTAAAATATGTAAAACAACAAAATAAAATATACGTGTTTAAGAGTTTTTCCGAAAAACTCACCGGTTTTTAAATAAAAATATTCTAATATTTGAGGGGTGGTTTCACACCCTTAGAATTCGAGTTTCGGAAAATCCCTTCTTATCGAACCTCTACACCCTAAAGTCAATCCGTTTTCCAAGAATCATCTTTTTACGTCAAGCATTTTAAGCAGGATCGTGATTAATCAATGACCAGATTTTTCGAAACACCCTGTATATATTTTTAAAAATCTTAAAATATGTAAAAAAAAAGAAAATAAAATATACGTGTTTAAGCGTTTTTTCGAAAACTTGACCGTTTTTAAATAAAAAATATTGTAATATTCCACCCCCTTTTTTACCCCCTTAGGGGATGAATTTTAAAAAATCCTTTCTTATCTCACGTAAACATCATAAAAGAACCTCTGTGCAAAATTTCAGCTTTCTAGGGTTAAGGGTTTGGTCTGGGCGTTGATGAGTCAGTGGTCAGTCAGGACTTAGAGATTTATATATATATAGATTAGTATAGATTATTTGAGGGGCGTTTTCACCCTCTTGCAATTTGAGATTCGAGAAACCCCTCCTTATCGAACCTCTACACCCCACAGTCAATCCGTTTGCCAAAAATCAGCTTTAAACGTTAAGCAGTTTAAGCAGAATCGTGATTACTCAATGGCCATATTTTATGAAACACCCTGTATAAATTTATAAAAAACCTTAAAATATGTAAAACAACAAAATAAAATATACGTGTTTAAGAGTTTTTCCGAAAAACTCACCGGTTTTTAAATAAAAAATATTCTAATATTTGAGGGGTGGTTTCACACCCTTAGAATTCGAGTTTCGGAAAATCCCTTCTTATCGAACCTCTACACCCTAAAGTCAATCCGTTTTCCAAGAATCATCTTTTTACGTCAAGCATTTTAAGCAGGATCGTGATTAATCAATGACCAGATTTTTCGAAACACCCTGTATATATTTTTAAAAAATCTTAAAATATGTAAAAAAGAAAATAAAATATACGTGTTTAAGCGTTTTTTCGGAAACTTGACCGTTTTTTAAATAAAAAATATTGTAATATTCCACCCCCCTTTTTACCCCCTTAGGGGATGAATTTAAAAAAATCCTTTCTTATCTTACGTAAACATCATAAAAGGAACCCCTGTACAAAATTTCAGCTTTCTAGGGTCAAGGGTTTGGTCTGGGCGTTGATGAGTCAGTATCAGTCAGGACAGTCAGATTTATATATATAGATAAATCATAACAAAATAAGAGCACCATGCCAACTAAGTGAAATTAGTCAAGAAAGTTAAGAATTGTCCATAACTCAGTAATTTAAAAAAAAATATATTAAAGCTTATATCGCTTTTATGAACCAAACTATTGTTTCCATTTAAAAAAAAAACATATGTTTGTGTCATATGTCAAAAATGACAGGCTTTAGAAAAAATCGGAGAACACAAACTCAGGGATGTGATTATTTACAACAAAACTTTTTGTCTAAAATAGATTATAATGGAATTAGGGACAATTATTAAAATAGCCAAAATCTGTTTTTTTCGAAATATCTAGTAAGCCATGAACTTTTTCAAAAATCTGAAAGGCACATATTTATGACCCCACAAAACTGCAATTCTTTCCCCATTAAACTGACTCTCTATCTCCAGTAGTTTCCGAGATACCCTTTGAATAAGAAGACTAAGGAAGGAGCATATCAAAAATCTTAGGTACACCGCGATGGGCCTCAAATATGGCCGACTTAAATTCCGGTTTATCAGTGTCGTTCTAATTTTATTTAAAAAATGTAAAACTATGATGTAGGGTAGACGTGGGGTAGACTCAATAATTTGTTGTTTTATTTTACGTTGTGAATAAATGTTGGTAGTTATTAAAATTGTTATAAAAATATATAATTGTAATAAAAATAGATAAGTTATAATAAGTATTTATTAACACAAACATCCGATACGCTACTGAAGCAGGTAAGTCAAATTAACATATCTAAATTCTTTGACATTAAATCTTTGACAAGTAATAAATAAAAGCTAAAATGCAAGAAAAATATATAATTTAGTTAATTTAAGTGAATTTCATAAATGATCGGTTTACTACACGTATGTATATTATACCTATAGTCACTTACTAGCGAAAAGTTGTTCCATTATTTCATTCAATTTTTGCCGAGATCTACCGCACGCTACACAACCAACTATTTTAGAGTCTTTTTCGATAAATCGCGATAGTGTCACTGTTAATTTAAGTGCTACCACAATTTCCATCTAGATTTACTACCTTTATACAACTATCAGTAGTAGAATAAATAATAAATAACATAAAATAAGCTCCGTAATCAATGATCCACAAAACATCGTGACAAATCCAGAAAATTTAAAATCAAATTCAAATGTGTCAAATGAATCGTCAAACAGAACTGTCAAGGATCCCCACCCTAGAGTGCTTTTATGGCGCTTTTTCCGCCCACCATGCATGAATACATGGATAGCATTATGCTCCTTCCTTAGTCTTCTTATTCAAAGGAGATACCCATAGAGAATATCGTAGGAAACTCCTGTACATAGTTAGGGCTTAAGCTTGATTTTCATGCATCCGTTTATACGTTGATACGATGGTCCGACGGTGCTCTGATTGGTCATAGCGTTTTCGCGCCACTTTTCATCCGTAAATATTTTACTTCAGCCCGTCAACGGACCCGTTCATACGATAACGGACGTTTTGACACTTTTTTGACAAATTTAATCTAACCTTAATAAAAATATAAGTAAAATAGCAAAATCGTCATGGAAACGAAAATATAAAATGACACAACATATATCCGATAAACAGAGGCATGAAAATGCAATAAATTTAAAAACTGCGTTATTTTCTAACCAATGAAAGTCCTTAAAATTCTACCAATAAAATTAATATCGTATCAACGTATCGTCGGACGGCGGATGCATGAAAATCAAGCTTTAGTCTCCAAGTTGCTAGACTTTGTGAAAAGGATAGGACTGAAGAAAAAATGTAACCTAAGGACCAGAAGAGAACCACAGTATATATGAAAATGTCGCAGTGGAGAGGCCTATAGCCACGTCAAAACATTTAATCTAATGTAAGTGCGAACACAAAGGTCTTCTTATGTTCATGTCTACATGCAATACACGGCATATAATCGAAAATAATAGACTTAATAACCCAATTTACAGCAAAGCTAATAAATTATCATTAATTCTATATAAAATTAGTGTACATTTTATGCAGAAAAACCATTAAGCGTATTCGAAGCAACAATAACTAAAGTACACAATGTTAATCACTTACCCTACAAAAGCTGGTAATCGCCGAAATCTGCAAACAAGAGAATGTTTAAGTAATGAGTTTGTAAGTTTAAGGTTATAGGGGCAAGTAGTCGTAGCAAAGGGTTTAAGTTTAAGAAAACTTCTCTACAATAGGGCGAAACTTTGCCTAATTTGCACATTGAAGAAATATCCGTATAACAATTTGGATTCGAGTTGTCTAAATCAATAAGCCTCTCGGCACAGCGTTGTGCTGCAAGAAAAATAAATTATGCAAATTTTGTATAAAGAGTTTTCGAGCAGCCTAGTTTACCGAAAGTTTCTGTCGAGTAAACTAGTTTGTTTTTTACTAGTTTTCGAACGATAGAAAATAATAATTATATTTCGAGAAAAAATATTTTGAATATTGTTCTAGTGTATGCTGAACATAATTATGATGGTCATGATAGACATCTATTTGTATATATTAATAATACAACTTTTTAGTACATTTTTATTATTTTTTTGATAAAAATAATATACAGGGTGTTTCACCAAACTTCTTAAAATAAATTCAAATAAACAAAATCCATTTCTTTTATTTATACAGAGTATAAATAAATGAATGAGGTGCCCGAAATGAATAAGGTGCCCGGTGGCATAGTGGTACAGGCTTTCGTCTACCAATCTCAAGGTAGTGGGTTCGAATCCCACACCCGGCATTTCATCAGCCGACTATTTTTATTAAAATAAAAATAGTTTGGGTACCTAGGTCGACTCAGCCTTAAATGAGTACTTGGAATTCACAATCCTGAGGTAATAATAGTCGGTTGAAGCGTAGTGCTAGCCACATTGCCTTCCTTGTATACCGAACGGTTTTAGTATGGCAAGCTGTACCTTGCTACTCCCAAGGCGTCAAACGCTATATACGGGAGCTATTATTATTATATAAATAAATGATTGGGCCAAGCAATTCAAGAAGTCTAATTATTGTATTTTAAAAAATAAGGGGCATTTTTCTATTTTTTTATTTGATGTTTCTCTACAAAATTGTTTCTTTCTCCTGAATTTTATTTATATTAAGAGAACTATGTATACAAAGAATTAAAATCTATAAAGTAAATTTTATAGTTAAGAAAACATTTCGAAACAAAACAGTTAGCATACACAGCTGTTTCCCTATTGTTCAAAATCCAATTAAATGTAGTATTATGCAAAATGTAAATAGAATTTTAAGTTATCTTATAGTCTCCTATCATCTAGTTTTTTTAATTAAAAGAAAGGAAACGAAATAGCAGTTTAATACATATTTACATTATAAAATTTCAAGATTTTTTATTTTAAAATTTTTATAATTCAAATCTAGTTTAAGAGTGAACAAAATTAGATTTAAGATTTCAATATTAATACTTTTACTAATATAATATAATTAAAAATCAATGAATATGTAAGATTTAAATTTTCTATTATTTTTTCTGCATCTCTTGTTTAAATTGTTATAATTTTATAAATATTTAAATGGTTTTACCTCTTGTATTCGCCTGTGAACGCTCACTTTGTGCCACTGATTATCATCGAAACGCACTTTGTTGGGCTTGATCTGCATCTCTTGCTTCCCATTTGATAAGCCCATAGTCAGACTGAGACAGCCGTCCTTGATAGCGACATTGAGATAATCACTGCCTTCACCTAGAAAAATAAAAGAATTTTTTAATTTCTTTTGATAGAACACCCTGTATATTATTCCTTTGTTAGATGGAGAATTAAAAAATAAATATTTCTCGAATTTAAAGTATTTGACTGTCCCTAATTCAACGTACTGAATCTTTGTATATAATATACTAAAATAAAATTTGCATATTGTTAATTAAAATTGCTGATTATTAAACATTTTAATTAATATTAAACCCAATCCAATTGAAAACTAACCGAGTTACATGTTTTTACAAATCAATTGAATTATAAATATTAATCCCCAGATTGAATAGTTTTCATTTCGATATTAAACCGATACTAATTCTAGTTATTTTATGTTTTTATGTGCCTAATCATTTATGTGTTCACTAATTCACTCCAACACACACACAACTGATTTGATAAACGAAATGAAATTATGCTTTTTACATATTTAGTATTTACTGGCGCTGTTATTCGATACGGAGCCGAGCTTCCGAATGAATAATTGCGATTATTGTTTCACTATGCAGCCATCAGTATCAATGCGAATAAAACAGTTTATTGGTACAATAAAATGATACATTATACTGATTAGTTCTCTTTTTAATGATTGAACTAAAATGTTGTTTTACTGCATTATACGTCAGTTGTTTTTATTAAAAATTACTGATTAACAGGGTTTTTTTAGTAAACACGCTTACCGTACACGAAAGACGGGCGTCTTAAAATTTTAAAGTTTAATATATTTCTTCTATATTATACCGGGTGCGTCTCAAAACTGGCTCGCCCCCTATAACTTTTTTATTTTTTCAGATAGAAAAAAACGAGATTTGGTATGCTAGTATATGACATAAATTAGGATTGATTGACATATTCAATTGTTTTCGGCCACTTCCGGTTTACCCGGAAATGAATACAAATTTTGATTTTTAAATGGCACCATCGATATTTTTTTACTTTATTCGATAGAAAATGACACTCTGAATCGAATGACATGTCATATGTACTAAAACAAAATTGTATTTTAAATTTCAATCTAGAGTTCCATGACTGTGTTAAAAACACTAATTTTTAATCAAGGACCTTTGGAAAAATAGATTTGATCGTGTAATGTTTTTAGTGTCTTGTCCTGGTTGGTTCAAAGATGCCCAAATCGTTTTTTAGTCATATCTCAATTTTTTCAAATGGAACGAGGCTCATTAGCATATATATTAAAATTTATTAAAAATTATTAATTGGTACCACACTTGGTATTTCGAATAAAACTGTCGTTTTGAACCGCATGTTACAATTTCAAATAACGCATAATATGCGAAAATACCAAAACTGTTGATAGGTGTTGACCTATGATATGTCATTCTATTCAGAGTGTCATTTTCTGTCGAGTAAAGTAAAAAATACAGAGGGTGTCATTTAAAAATCAAAAGTTGTAGTCATTTCCGGTAAAACAGGAAGTGACCAAAAACAATTGAATACGTCAATCAATCCTAATTTATGTCTTATTCTAAAATACCAAATCTCGTTTAGTTATCTGAAAAAATAAAAAAGTTATAGGGGTGAGTCACTTTTAAGACGCAGCAGGTATTTTGTTCTAGTCTAGGGGGCTAAATTTGGTGATTTTTTAAGCAATATGTAGCCTAAATTATTTGACGTTTTAGTACCTCTTTCTAAATTAAAAATTAAAATTTTCATCTGTCAATTATGCCACGAGGGAAAACAAAATGTTGATATTTTTAATGTTGATATTGTGAAAGCTTGAAACACTCTGTGGAATATTTTAAGACAACATGGAATTTAAAAATCATTTTATCATCTAGGTACATCCTTTCTCGATAGTTTCTGTTTTGGTTCATCCCAATAGCTTTATTTTTGTAGGAGGTATTCGTTTTTGCAGAAGACGCTAACATTTTTTTTTGTAATTTTTACATTAAAACCATGCCTTTGCTTTTGGTTCTAGTAAGTTGTGGTCCCGAATTAGGCCTTCTTGGCATAAGATTTGCTTCCTATAACCGTATTCTTACAATCCGTTCACTTATATGTACGTTCCTTATTAGCAATTCATAATAAATTTGAAATGATTGCAAAGGTTAGTTTCTTAATGATAAACTTAAAATAAGTCGATCGTCTCGATTTAAAGTTCTCATACGAAAGTTCCTGGATATCTAGTGACAACACTTATTTGCGGCAAGTTTTTAATAGGCACCCTTATAACACAAGGCACAGAATGAAAATATACTCTGTTTTTTTTCTCAGGTAAGATTTCGACAGACGATGACAGAAGAAAAGCAGATGACGTCCCATACCAATCTATTTATTTTACTAAAAAAAGTTTCTAATAATTTTTAAGTTATCTATGGATGGGTTTAAATATAAATTCGTCATACGTCGTGTCTTGTTGTTTTTAACCAGTTTTATTGGTTTATTTAAAAAATTAGGTTTTGATTAAAAATACGATGAGCTAATAATCATGCAGCCGGATCTTAGACTATTACTTTTGCTTTTATTATTCATTTGAACTCAGAAAATCAAAATGACGATTTTTATCCGAAAATTCTTATTAAACAAAAAGCGTTTTCGTTATTATTTGCATACCGTCGACTTTTACTAACTCGTTCGAAAATAAATTGAAAAATTTATACCCTATCTGAAACGAAATTCAGATCTAAAAAAGAGATTTCGGCAGACGGCTATTTTAGCAAAAGGTAATATATTTTGCCGAAGGTTTTTTTTTTCGGTTTGTTATAAATTGCCGTCATATTTCTTTTGTATGTTCAGAACAGTTGTGACTTTTTTTCTTTTAAATAAATGTTTTGTGCGTTTGTTGTTGTTATTTGGAGTCACAAAAAATAAATATAGAATAGCAAAATAGGCGGGGTTACGTTCTGCCAAAACACCGCGTATATCTAAACAAAGTTTTATTCCATAAACTATACAGGGTGAATCTTAAATAGGTGTAATTATTTATTTCGACACCAGAAACACGTCCATGATAAAGTTCTCCTACTCTGGGTGCCATCCCTCCAAAAGGTAGAATATGCAATGAAAAAGCAAACGATGTACCTAGAAATAGAGCACTCCACTACTGGACCAGAACCATTGTTCTTCTCAACTGAAAACCAACTTAAAACAAAACTCGATAACCTGGAATACTCCATCCATAACCTCGATTAGAAGAAATTTCTCAGGACTTACGGCGGATAAATGTCAAGATTTTCCTTTATTTAAGTAAAAACAATTTTCGGATTGTCTAGGGGTTCTTAACTGGACACTCCCTCCTCAAAGGACACCTCAGTATATTGAAGCTAGAAACAAAAGCTTCTCTTCTACCTAGAATTAGAATTTAGAATAAGTGGGAGGGGGGTTAATCTCTGCGACCTTAGAGATCTATTGTGTCTCCCTTTCTTGAGTTATAACTCATCATACAGTCCCAGGACTTCCTACGGAGACCCGTGTCCCTCACAGTCGAGGAGCTACGACCCAGGCCGGGTAGACGAAACGGTAGCTTGTGTCGCCTGTTGGGTTTAGAGGTAGGAGGTAGGCTCCCGACCCTTGGAGGAGGTGGTAGCTTGTATGCCACTTGCGGAGGATGGTCTCACGCAAGTGTCAGCCACCTCTCCTGTAGTTCTCTTTGGGTTTGGCCCCTTGGAACTTTCATTGTTACTGTTCCCAGTGTCGCTAGGGGGTTTCCCCACAGCTTCACCGGTGATGTTTTTATTACTATTATTACCAGATCTCATAGTGTTCCTATGAGTCGCTAGGGACAGTCGGTCCACTTCTACAGAGCCCCGCATGTAGAAGTAAGGGGTAAAATACAATGGGGTGCCCCAAGGTTGAGGCTGTCCGTAGCCCCGCCCGGTATCGTTATATGTCTTGGTGCAATTCCCTGGCCACGACACTACAGTCAGGGACAAGACGATGAGTGAGATGCTTCTTAGACCAAGCCAAGTGCTAGGGGGGATTCCCCCCAGCACCTGACCAGGAGCTTCCCCACCAACGACAAGGTCTTGCATCTCCTAGGGGAAGCTCTTCTACCTAATAAAGCTAAAATAAACGGCAAATGCGGATTCTGTGAGGAAGATTGGGACACATCAGAAAACCTAATCACTGAGTGTGCCAAGCAACACCCATTTGTGTGGAGAACTCACCTCTAGAAAACCGTCTGAGATACTGGTTTTTGTCTATATCTAAGTTATAGGCTTTATCTAAGTTATAGGAAAATTTTCTTAATGTTTCTGCTCTATTTTCTTCGTAGACAGTATGTGAAAATCTTTATCAATAAAGAAATCACATGATTGCTGAAAATTCCTATGCTCTAAAAGTAAGTGGATGGGTTGTTTACATTTTTTGAATGGAAAAAAACAACCTTATCGAATTTTTCTTATGTAAACATATTGGAAAAGATCCGATCTTTAAAATAAAAAAAAAGTTTCAATATCTAAACAGGTTCTTGAGTTCTTGATTTAAAATTGAGTTTTTAAATTATTGTGATTACTGACGTTTTCTCGTTATTAAATAAATGACACCGTAATGATATACTTATAATTCCATTTCAGATGCTCAGAAACATGTCTAATGATTGTATCTAGTTATTTTTTTTTGGAAAAAAAAGTCTTTTAAAAATAATGATTTTACTTTACTTGATAGGGAAAGGCGTACCGGCAACGCCGCAACAGCACACCGTCGCATTTCTCTCACTCCGACTTATAAGATCCCTATGCGATTTACTTCCACACATGTAAATGTCGACCCAAAAGTAACAGTTGCCAGCACGGTATATGATAACTCAAAAAATGGGAAAAATGGGGACACAATAGATCTATAAGAATAAAATATAATAATAATTTTCATTATAAATAATAAAAAAATATATTTTTGCAATATTCAGTAAAAGAAACATAATATCTGTATAAAATGCCAATATAGATAGAAGATTGCACCCAAAAGAAGAAAAAAAAAACAGAAAAAATAGTGGTTATTTTATTATTTTGAAAGTCAAATAACTCGACTGTTTT